AAAAAAAAGCTAAAGAGAAGTAATTCTAAGACTGCTTTCGGAAGCAATCTATAACAAAAAATCAAGAATGTACGCACAAGAATATTTTCAACGTGGGACAGAGAGCAAAGCCCACACTATGCAGCAAAACCAAAACCATAACAAGTGAGCGAAATGAAGGCGATGGAATTTCGGCAACATATCCGGAAACGAATAATATGATACAAACGTATGAGGATCTATGCACATGTGACAAGCTACTATGTAGTCAAAAACATTTGTACAAAGTAGAAGAAACCTTACCAACGAATATGAGGAATTCCAACACCTCCCTGGAGGATGCGATATACTTTCGATTCATAAAGCAGCTGCGGATGACGAGCCTAAAACAAGAAAAAGTGACATCTTTCAAAATTCAAAAAAAACCGGTGCATATTTAGATTATGGAAAAAACGTACTCTGTTACTTTCAAGTTTTATGGCAACCTCCTCTCCATTAGTGACATTAATCGATACATAAATGTCACCAAATGAGCCTGACCCGATCTTCCGAATGAGCTTATACTTGGTTGCAACTATGAAATCCTTATTTGTGATTACGTTAGCCATCACGCTAGGTGCCTTCGTCTAAGGGCACTACCTGAAAAAAAGAATTTTGAATCCTAATTCACTACAGCCAGAAACCACTAGCTCCACCGCTGAAAGACGAATAAACGACCAGGTTTCCGGAGTGGGTGTTGGAAAGTGAGTTTACTCCACTAGTCTACTGTAAGCGTTAACGCAATGATAATCGTTATCACTAGTACAAAAATAACATACCTGCCAGCGCAAAGGTCTCCAACTCCAAGCAAAAGTGGCTCGCACTTTGAATGGAACCAATGCTTAGCAACAGAACGCCCTTAAAGTGAAAATTTCAATCAAAAAAAGGTAGAAAAGAAAACACGAAGGTTGCGAGACAATTCAGAGATTTGTGCAAAAAAAAGTAAGTAAAGAGTGACAAGTACTAGCAGATACAAACAACAGATCCACAG